GCGTGTGTGTATGTGTGTTTTTTTTTTTTTTTAAAATGTTGGCAACCTTCGTTAATTACAATAATTACCTATTGATTATTTTTTTTCACCATGTGCTACTTTATGTATTTTATTAACGAGTATTTGAAAAAAAAATTTTTTTTTTTTTATTAACCTTCGATCGTTCTTGAGTTTTTGTTTATATGAAAAATTATGTTGAGGGAAAATTATTCAGGTTTTTTTTCGTTTAATTTTTAAAAAATTTCATTTTCGTTTGTTGTTGTTGTTTGTATGTTACTTTCGATTTCTTTTTTTGTCGTTTTCTATTCTCTTCTTTTTGTTTTTGTTTTTTTTTGTATTTTTAAATTACTGGAAAAATTTTTTATTTTGTTGTCTGCCTTGGTATTTTCTTTTCTTTGTTTTTTCATCTTCATCTATTTCCACTTTTTTTTTGCGTGTTTGTTATGATAAAAATTATTATTATTATCAGTATTATTTTGTTAATTATTTGGAGTGAGTGAAAACCAAACGAAAAAAATTTTCTGTTTGTTTAAATCACACGAACAAAACAAACGATTTGTTCGATTCAAAAAAAAAAAAAAACGTTCCACACGGGGGAGGGGGAATCAAATGATTTATTATTATTATTAATATTTTCTTTTTGCGTTTGTCAGAAACATGTTTTTTTGCTTTAGTTAATGAATCCTAATATAAAAAAAAACAATAAATTTTAACGATTAAAATTCGGAAATTAATAAAATAAATTTAATGTAAAAAAAAAAATTATTAAATAAAAAAATAACAACATAATAATAATAATAATAATAATAATAATAATAATAATAATAATAATAATAATAATGTTTTTTTATTTTATTATATAAATCATAACATAAAGTTAACGAAGAGAAAAATGAAGTTGTTATTATTATTATTATTATTATTAGTAAAAAAAATGATTTTCCACTCTATTAGTTATTATTTTTCGTATTGATGTAATAAATAATAAAATGTCTGTGCCAATTTCTTTTTTTTCTGCTTCTCTTTCTATTTCATTAAAAACACGAAATTGAATTTGATTTTTTTTTCTCTCTCTCTCTCTGGTAAATTTCACACGTTTAAATTTTATTATTATTATTATTATTACGACGACGACGACGTGGACGGCGACAAAAAAAAAAGAGAAAAAAAAATGATTTGATGTCGTCACGGATTCGAATTTGAACGTATTGCGCGAAAATTATTTTTATTTATTTAATAATAATAATAATAATAAGTAATAAAAGTTATCAGATTAATTTTTTTTACTTAGGAAACGTCACAAATAATGAATTTATTGAAAAATCTGATAAAAGGTTGTTAACCGCTCAATAAATAAATTAATGACTTTAATTTAACAAAAAAAATTTTTTTTTTTTTATGGCCGTACTAAAATTAAACGAATTAAATGGTTCGTCGTCGTCGTCTCTTTTCGTAACTTGAATCAAATTGTTATGAATACGATTGATGATGATTATGATGATGATGATAACGAGAACGATGATAGAGGAAAAAAAAAAACGCCGGTCAAAACGTGTCGGAGAAATTTTTTTTAAAAGGTCAAGGTCATTCGTCCGACACGACCGCGTGAACGAGAAAAAGAAAAGCAAAATAAAACAAAAGAATAATTAATTTATTATTATTATTATTATTATTCGTTAATTAAAAACAAACTTTTTGAATTATTTGTTTTTGTTAGTCAGTTAACGAGTAAAAAAAATTTTTTTCATACTTTTCCGACGTGATAATAATAATAATAATAATTTAATTTAAAACAAAAAAGAATTTTTTTTTCGGAGATAAAGCACCAGCACATTTATTATTATTATTATTATTATTTTAATTCAGGGGTATTTAAAAATATTTATGTGACGTAACATTAGCTAAACAATTTTTTGGAGAATTTTATGATAGGAAAATTCAAAAAAAAATGGAGAATCGAAACTGAAAAAACGTATTAATAAGTAAATCAACGAACAAATACTGGAATTTATTATTCTGTATAATAAAATTTAAATTTTTTTTTAGTTGGGGCATACAAGTCTAATAAAACTTTTTTTATTTTAATAATAATAATAATAATAATAATAATAATAATAATAATAATAATAATAATAATAAACCCAGGACCGACGGACTCGCGGTTACGACAAGTTTAAAATTTTCCAATCGCGACCGGAAATCATATAATTTTCCGATTATCCGTAATATTGACAAAACGTGGTAATCTTTGAAAAAACGCGATAAAATTAACAAATATTTAAAACTGGGAGCCACGAAACAATCGCTGATAACAAATTTCTTAAAAAAACCACCGATAATAAGACATTCCATAAAAAAAAAAAATCTGGAAAGAATTCTGGAAAACTCTCTGTGGAAAATTATCGCGATTAATTTATCATTAAAATATAACTTAATTTTAAACTATTTTTTTTCTAAACCCGGTCTTTACAACTTCCGGTTATTTTTTATACCCCTAAAAGTTAACTTAAATAATTTAACGTTAGTGATTAAATTGATGACGTGACGAGGAAAAAAAAATAGAGTAAGCTTAATCTTTATTTAAAGAGAGTGGATTTGACAAAAAAAAAAAAAAAAAAAAAACCGAAGGAAAACAACTGTTACTCGGAAAAATTACTCTTCGTATACTTTTTCGTTTGTTTAAAAAAAAAAAACAAACAAAAAAAATTTACCGGACCGCAAAACTATTTTTTTATTTATTATTATTTATATTAATTTTATGTAAAAACGTGACTTAAAATTTTAACGAATATCACAAATGCGTCACATTTTTTTTTGGGGGGGAAAAAAAAGGAAAAAGGACGAACACGTCGCCGCATTCCTCTGAAATTTTCTCCGCCATGTTTGTTTTTTTTCGAAACATTTGTTTGTTTGTTTTTTTGTTAAACGGTATTAAATTATTGTTATTTAATTACTTTATTTAATTACACGTTTAATTATATCACTTTTTTTTTATTCAAAATGAAAAAAAAAATTTCCCGCTTGGAAAAGTCAAAGAAATGTGGAGAAAAAAAAATTTTTATTTTTTTATCCATTTTTCTTTTTTTTTCCAGTCGTTTATCCTCTTTAAAAGTGACCCTTTTTTTTTTTTCTTAAGCTAGATAACCGGTCACTCGTTTTAATGGTATTAGTTGATAGTTACACAAAAATCCTATTACTCGTCTTCTTCTTCTTGTAGTTCAGACGACAGAATTTTTTTTTTTTTATGTATTTACACTCTCTTATTTATTTTAAAACTGAGTTTTTTTTTATTACGTATCAATTTATATTTTATTATCTTTTTTTAAAGCAGACGAACACATACAAAAAATAAATAGTTATTTATGGTCATTATCACGAGGAAATTTTTTTAGTTTTTAAAAATCCGAGAGAGACAGAGAGAGAAAATGGCGCGGTATTCAATGTCGCGAATGATAAAACATTAAATTTTTTTCTTGTTGGATGCCCTGATTTAAATGTAGAAATTTATGTCACGAGGTCAAGACTGGAGATCTGGAATCGTGCATCGTGAGGTATTTTCTTGCGGTGAAAAAAAAAAAAAGAAAATTGCGCAATTTTTTTAAAAAAAAATATTCGTTTGCCTCCGGTAAAAAAATGATTGGCAATTTAAAAAAAAAAAAAAAAAAGATTCGTCGGTAGAAAGGGAAAGTGTTGTTGTCGTTGATTGACAAGGAGAAACATAAAAAAAAAAAATTTTTTTTTCCAAAGTTGCACACATTGTTCGAGAACAATATTTTTTATTTATTTATTTTTTTTGGTAATTTTTAGTTTACGTGTCAAAGGTTAAGTTTTAGCAATAAAAGGAAAAAGTTTACAATTATTTAAAATTTTATTTTTATGACTTGCGGTTTCCTTTGTTTTGTTTTTTTTCCTTCGTCTCGATTTCCGTTAATTATAAACAAATTTTTTTAAATATTTTATTATTATAATAATAGATCAGTTTTTGTTACGGCCGCGCGTTTGTTGTTGTTGTCGTCGTTTGATTTAATAACTAAAAAAAAAAAGTAAAATTTTTATAATTAAATCTTTTTTACACAAAAACTACGCCGCCTTTTTTTTTTTATTGTTGTATTTTCTGTTATTGTTATTTATTTAATTTTTGTTGTGAAACGGATATGAAACAATCTGCGTCACGATTTTTTTTTTATTTCGGTTCCCCTCCTACCTCTTCCCCCCTTTTTTTTAAACTATTAATCTTACATCACCTGAATTTGACATTTAGTTTTTTTTTCTTGTTTTTACTACTACTACTACTACTGTTTACTATTTTAATATTATTGTTTTATTTTTTAAATCATTATTATTATTATTACTATTATTATGGTTATTAAAATTTAAGTGTACGTACGTACAAATTCAATCAATGATTGATTGATTGATTTGTTTTTTGTATAATGAAATCGATTTATGAAATTTTTTCGCGCCATTTTTAAATTTAAAAGTTCAAACGAGTTTTATTAATTATTTGATTTTAATAAATTACAGATAAAATAAGTTTTGATGTGATAATGATTGATCGTACCTGTAATTGATCAATTCATTGATTGATTGATTGATTGAATTTGATAATATAAAAGACGACGACGAACGACTTTATCGGTGTGATTTCATATATATTAACGTATTTGCAAAAAAAAAAAAACGGTTTTTTTTGTTAAATGGATACGGTGGATGATTTATTTATTATTTATTGTTGAGTAAACGTTGATGGAAACATTTGTGATAAAATGCATCACCCCTCGTGGATATTACCCTGGGGAGTCCCATTACAGAAAATGGTTGCGGTACCCATGCATCCAGCCGTAAGCCCTCATCATCCGGGGCTTCAATTACAACATCATCCGGCTGCTCCGGCTGCTGTACACGTTACCGCTCCCGTCATCGGTTTACCTCCACCGCATCTCGGTGCGATTCGGTCATTTGTCGCGGCTCAACAATCACCACAAAGAAGTAGAAAGGTAAGTTTTTATTATTATCATTATTATTACATGTTTTTTTTTTTAATCGATCGCCGCGAATGATTCGAATTCGTTTAACGATAAATAAATTGCACGATATGATTTTTCATCTTCCAGCTCCCCCCCTTCCCATTTTTTTTTGGGGGGGGGGGAGAAAATGGGATAAAATCATCAATAAAATTGATTGATTAAAAGAATCCTTTTGGATTTGAATGAATAAAAATTTTTTGTTTGTTTGTTTGTTTGTTTGTTTGTTTTATTTAAATTTTTCATGCCCTTGCGAAATAATTGATGAATTACACCAAATTATTTCATATTCACGGATCGTTGGACAAACAATAAATAATTTATTTATCCTTCGACTTTTATTATTATTATTATTATTATTATTATTATTATTATTATTATTATTTATTTTGAAATTTTCATTTATTTTACGTTAAATTAAATAAAATACTTATTAAACTTATTTAATTAAAAAAAAAAAAACGGGATTCTATTAATAAAAATTGTAGGAGTATAATAAATAAATAAATAAATAAATTTTAAGCATTAATAATAATTAATTAATTTGTTTTCGAATAATTAATAAATTGGATATTTTAGATGGATTTATTAATTTTGACGTACAATAAATTATTGATTGATTGATTAATTAATTTATTAATTTTTTGTGCTGTGACGTAATTAAATCACGAAACGGAAAAATGTTCGGAAACGGAATTACGGAGCTTGTTTGTTTCATTTTGTAAAAATTTTTTTTTCCTTTAAATGTACGTAAGGAAAAGCGGAAAATTTGGTGAAAATGGTGTGTGGGCAGTGGTGTGGGCACGTGCGCGTTTCGGAGGGAATCAGATACGTTCTTTTGGATAATTTAAATTTTAAATCGAAATATTCAAACGAAAAGTTTTTTTTGTTCATTTTTTTTTTTCTTTTCTCTCTCGGTGGGATTTCATTGACGTGCACGTCGAAAACTAAAAACAACAACTTTTTTGATTGTTGGTTGTTATTAATATCAATGTTTAATTTTCTCATTTCGAACTCGAATCAATTGTTCATTTTTTTTTGTTGTGTTTGTTCGTTTGTTTGTTGTTGTATTTTTTTTTTATTTTTTTAACGAGAGTATTAAAAATGGTCGACGTCGAATCGGTTTTGATTTCTAGTAATTATTTTTTTTTTCTTTTTCTTAATTAGGTCTACCTAGTGCACATGTGCGTGTGTGGCGGTTCATTTAATTACATACACTTGTTGATTTTTCCGCCATTTTTTTTTTTTTGATTATCCGTTTACAAAAAAATATTATTCACCGAATAGTATTAATTTTTTGAACCGTATCTAATTTTTATAATAATAATAATAATTATGTTTCTGTTTTTTTTAATGTTTTACAAATTTTTTAAATTAATTAAATCGTGTAAATAGAAAATACAAAAGAAATAATAAAAATAATAATAATAATAATAATAATAATGATGATGATGATGATGATGATGATGATGATGATGATGATGATAATAATAAATTTGCAAGGTAAAGAAGAAAAAGAAGACGAAAGAGAAGGAAGAAAAACCGGGGAGAGGGAGCGGGGGTGGGAAAGGGCGCGAATAAAAGATAAAATTTTTTTTAAATAAAATTTTTGCGTTTGGATGATGATAATAATAATAAAAAACAATTTCGCAGCGTGAATTACAATTTATTAATCCGTTCGCGTTTACCATAAGTTGTTTCATTTATTAACAATAATATAATAATAATAATAATGGCATTATTAGACTGACTATTACTAATAGATCGACGTTCGATTTATTTTTATCGATTTTTATAACCGAATTCATTATAGTGAAATTTCTGTTTTTTTTTTTTTTTTGGTGAGGGGAGGGGTTTCCCTGTTGAAAATAGATTTAAGGTCTTTTTATACCCCGAGGTATATTGGTAACGGTTTGGACAAACGATCGGCGGTGAGTGAGTTTAAAATCTATTATAAATAGAATTCGTTCCATGGATATAAAAATAATAATAATGATGATGAGAATTATAATAATAATAATAACAAGTCCCGAGAAGTTCTGGAAAAGATTGAAAATAAAATTGGAAAAGTTTAGAAAAAAAGTTTAGAAAGGCTGTGTAGAAGATTAGGGACGTTTGTCTGGATAAGACTGGAAAAGTCTGGAAAAAAATTCTGGAGAATACTGGAGAAATCTGGAGAAAACTGGAGAACTAGAATAGTCTGGATAAGCCTAGAGAAGTCTAAAAATATCCTGGAGAAAACTAGAGAATTCTGGAGAAGACTGGAAAATTCGGATAAGACTGGAAAATATTCTAGGAAAATCTAAAAACAAATTAATATCGAAACATTTATTCGTAAGGAATCGGGTAGAATTTTGTAAATACAACTCCTAAAAGTGCAAGCATGGAATCTCGCGTTGAATTAAAATAATAATAATAATAATAATAATAATAATAATAATAATAATAATAATAATAATAATAATAATAATAATAATAATAATAATAATAATTGATTGCGATTTCTTTGCCACCGAATTAAAATGGCTGAGTCATTTGGCCAATCATTGATTGGCTTTTATTGCACATATATTGTATTGTACCGAAAGAAACGTTGTTCGCGTTGTTCGTGTCCGTCCATCGCCAGCAACAATACCTGACCCCTGTGAAATACCTTTTAAACGTTACACAATCTTTATTATTATTATTATTAGTTTTCTACAAATAATTACCGATCGTGACCATGAGTAGCAGTAAAAAAAAAAAAAAAAAAAAAAAAAAACAATATTTACGAGTACCTCTTACGCATATTTATATAAATTTATTAAAGTTTTGAAATCTTATAAGCAATTTATTATTATTATTACTGGTCACGTGATTAATAAGATTTTCAATTTTAAATGTTAGGTAGTATGCTTGCGTTAAAGCGAAAAAAATAATAATAAAAAAAATTCGAGCGTGGAAATAGACGAAAACGATTTTTATGTTTACTTAGGGTATCGATTTATCGATCAATCTAATTTTTTTTTTTTTCGGTAACTGCCAAACAAAGCAGAAAATAGACGACATGTTTTTTTTCCGTTCGCTGAACGCTTGATTGTACGTCTTATCAATTTTTTTTTTATATTGAACGCTTCAACGTTCGACGAATCAATTTTTTTTTGATAAATGATGGCGAATTATATGAAGTTTTATAAAAAGAAAATTTTTTAAAAGGGTTTTCTCACGAGGAAAAAAGAGAAAATTGACATGTTCACTTCAAGGTTCGTTGATTTGTCGTCTGCTGAAAAGGTGGCAGTCAACCTGACTCATTTGACATATTACTCGTTTTGTCTGACCTTCGTTTGATTTTCGCTCCCTCTCTGTTATTATTATTATTATACCTTTTGTGGTATTTATTTTTTCCTGTCTTTGACACTTTGCCGCTATTGTCGGTATTATTATTATTATTTTGTTGTTGTTGTAATAGCACAACAAGTTCTTTTTTAAACCATTCGAAAAATTTCGATTCCGATTATTTCTTTTTTTTTTATTTCCGGTCGATTGTTTGCCATTTGATACGCAACTGCGTTTTTGCACGTTTTGTCTTCTTTTGTTTCTTTTTTTTTTTTAAACTTTGTAATTTTATTTTTGTGAACAATTTTTTTAATCGAGTACGGAAATGATTGTTGGTAGATTTCAAAAAAAAAAAAAAAAGTAATTTGGTTTGAGTATTTCGTCATTCGAAATCGAAAGAAAAACAAAAAAAGTTAATGATTTTGCCCCCCCGAAAAAATTTTTATGAAAGTTTTCTTTTGTTTTATTGCGAAGACCTTCGAATACCTTATTTTAGTACTCGTTAAACTCTGCCAAAACAATTATTACGACATTTGACTTTGACCGAAAGAAGATATTTTGTGTCAAATCGTTTTATACACTCCGATGATACTCGCGTACCTGATTTTTAATTTTTTTTTTTTCGACAAAACGTCAAGAATACTAAAAAATTTTGAAAGATTATTATTATTATTATTATTTTTTCGGGTTCGCTCAATTTAGTAGTTTTCGTCGACGGTTGTCACACATCGGATTTGTTAGACCGGATACAATCAACCTTGAACACTTTATATAATTTTAGTTATTAGCCATCGATAGATGGGGTAAAACCGCCAGGTACGAAATTCATTTTTCTTTTTTTTGTAATCGTTTGTGCAACGAAAACGACGACAACAACAACAACAACAACCTCCTTTTGCTGCATTCTAATAATCATTGCATAATTTTCTAAATTGATTTTACCCGGGAGCAATTACCAGTTAAATGCTTTTTCATTTCCGGCGATTTCGTTTTCGTCCTTGAATTTCCCTTTCACCGCAACAATCCCCTCTCCCCCCGCCCCCAACAGCTTCTCTCATCTATACTACTATAAATAAACATTTTTTTTTTTTTTATTCACGTATAATTTATTTTTCATGGATGATTTTTTTTTTTTCGGATGTTCTACAATTTTTCGGTTGTTGTTTGTAAACGAATTTTAAATTCAAAGTCGCTACATTACATACATAATTTTTTTTTTTTAAACATAAAAAACTTAATGAAACGTAATTAGTCAGGTATTCGTAACTTGTATTAATCAATTTTAATCCGACACTTAAACCTGAATTTTTCAATGTCCTCTTATTAATTTTATCTCTCTCTCTCTCTCTTTCTCTCACTCTGTTTAATGAGTTTTACATAATAATAACCCATTTTTGAAATGATAATATTTTTAAGTCGTGATTGATATCACGAAATGATGTTTATTTCAAAGAGAAAAAAAATTAAGTTTGCCGTTAAGGTCGAGAAATTTTGTTGTTGTTTGTACGTCATGCCTGAAAAGAAACGGAATACATCTATCTACCATTTTTACGGAATATTTTGGTCACAGGAAAAAAAAAAACTTTGTTCCTTGTATTTATGTTACTTTTTTTTTTTTTTGTTTAAAAAGCAATTACCGACACACACATTACAGGTTTAGGCGGTTCGGTTAAAACCGATTATCCGACTTACCGACCGACATTTTTTGTTATTATTCGTCGACGAAAAAAAAAAAAAAAGAAAAAGTGAAATTTATTTCTAAAAAAAAAATTTTATTTTGATTTGTTTGACCTTATGTAATTTTTTCATGTTTTGTACGCGCGCGTAAAATTACGCATGTTTTATAAACATACGCGTTTTATATTTTGCTATAAAATTCTACGTTTAAAAAAAAAAGAAAAGAATCATTTTAATTTTTGCGTTTGTAATTGAAAAATCATTATAAAAAGAATTTTACAGAGATTTATTTAGGAGATGCATGCGAATACTAGCAAAAATATTCATTTACTGTTAAAAATGTAAAATTTCATTTATTTAATTTTAATTTTTTTTTTGTTTCAGGTACGTAAGAAGTAAATTAAATATTTAAAAAAAAAAAGAGAGCGTTTTTTCGTGGTAAGGTAGGAAAAAATTTTATGTTTTTTTGCTTTCGTTTAATTTTGCTACCGATTCCTCAATTTATATGTAAGTTTTTATTTCGTCGTAACGTATAAATTATTTTGGAATTAATTAAATATTCGTGTTTGTCCGGATTATCCAGTCGAATTTTTTTCTCTGTCTTATATTCATAAATAAAATTTTTATTAAGGATTTAGATAAATATTTAATTGAAATTTTTTTTTTTTAAATATTTTCACGCAATCGTTGAAATAATAAATTTAATTCGAACGTTTTTTTTTTTTTTATTTTGATAACTTACGTAAGACATTATCGAATAATAATAATAATCATCGTTTTTTTAAAAATTATACGCGGTTTTATTAAAATATTATTTTCTAGGTAGTTATTCTGGTAGATTTTATCGTTGTGTGACGTGTTTTACACGTGACAAACATGATTGCGGAAAAAAAAATTGATGAGAAATCATTTCCGGTGAGGAAAAATCTCTCTTTTTTTTAAATTTTCTTACTATTATTAACTTTTTTTTGCCTGAAGAAGAACTGAAGTCACGCCACGTAAAATATTAAACACCGTCGAAATATATATTTAAAATGATGGAATCGTTATTAATAATAAATTTATTTAAGATTTCGACGTTACTCACTCTTTCTCCCTCTCTCTCTCTCTCTCTCTTGTCGATCGTTTTGACAGCCTAATAATCAGCTTTTGATTTTAGCAAAATTTTATCAAAATTAAATTTAAAAAAAAAGTGTGTGTGTGAGCGTGTGCGCGTGCGCGAGTTTTAACCGTTTCCTGTGGATTTTTTTTTTTTTTTTGTTGGTTCACGGTTGGTGATCTCACTTATTCTTCGAAATTTTTCCCATGATGGTTTTCTTTTTTATCATCAAATAAAATAATATTCCCTTAAATAGAAAAAAAATTGACTCGCAATCATTATCAAGGTTGATAAAGTTGCACAAGCGTAACGACTAAATCTTGACCTTAATATTTTATTGACACCTGTCAAGAATACCGATTGGATGAAAGTGGGCAAACCAATCAACTAACCAACCAATCACTTCAACAAAATTCTTTTTTTTTTTGTTCAATATTTGTTTTTGTTTTGAAAAATTGATTTACAATATAATCATCACTTGAACGTTTCACGATTTTTTTTCTTTTGAACGTTTCACAAAAGTTACGTACGGATCCGAAAATTAAAAAATTTTTTTTTCGCAATTTGTTTATTGTAATGACGTATAATTTCGTGACGTCAATCACGTCATCTTACTTCACAATTTCATCGTATTTTTTTTTTTTTATTTAAATGACCCAATTACTGTAAGAAAGGTTGGTTAAGAAAGAAAATTTTATAATCGTGTTTTGACCTAAAAATTGATAATTTTCTATAGACACGTGTTTGGAGAAAATATCGCAAAGGTTTACCAACAAAAAAAAAAAAAAAAGAAGACAATTTAACGACCGATTGATATCGCGATGAGATGTGGATTAAATAACGACAGAGAGAGTGAGAGAGAATGAGAGTGAGATAAAAAAATGTTTAGCTACGCGCATAATTACTTACGTATGTATATATAAACATATAATTTTTTTTTTTTTACGACGTATATTTTATATGTATACACGCACACACGCATACATTTAATTATATATTTGCATAAAATGTAGTTTACCTGAGAGATTACATAAAATATTTTTTTGATGTCAGGTAAAAAAAAAACTGATTTACATGAAAAATGCAAATCAATTTAAGAAAAAAAAAAAATTTTTTTTTTTTTTTTACCTTTTGGGGAAAATGATAACCTTAAGTAATTAATTAATTATTTTTTTATTATCATCAAATATAGATTAAATTGTCGAATTTCTTTTT